GTCATTTTAATTGATTTCACCTTGCTCTTGTTTTCTTTTGTTTCAGCTGATGCAACTCTGATATTTGAAGTAGAATTATTGAAGATAGAGAGAAAGACAGAACTTTAATAACTTGTGTTTAATCTGTTACCATAGCATTTTAATTGTTTCATCAGTTCATGATTTATAATTAGTTTTATATAACAACTAAGTCAAGCACACAACTAGAGTGTATTTCATCAATTCCATTATAATGAACATTCAGGTTTAAATCCACAGACTTATTGCTTTTGATTTCAAATCCTTTCTGAGTTTATTAAAATTTTCCGTCTTAATTAAATAAACCAGTGAAAAGACACATAAATGATTTTACTCTCAGGTTGGAGTTGTTGGACATAGTTTCTTTGTCCTTTTCAGTACTTGAGCAATTGTTTACTCTATGCACAGGTGAGACGAATATGTCTTAATTAAGGCTCGATATTATGGGGTTACTTAATTGAACATTCAGGAATTGAATTCTTTCAAACCCCAAAATTGTGACAATCGAGTGAAAGGGGGATTTCGGACTACAACGCATGCACCTACTGACAAAAGCATGACAGCTGAAACATTAGTTGTGTTTAATTGTGATTCTACTCACACCACCTCCGTTGTCGGGACTGACAAAACTGTGACACGACTCAATTCTGTGTCACTCAATTCAAATTCTGTCATGACATGACATATGATTCAAATAAGGTTCAAACACTGACTTTATTTCCAAATTTTCTCCATAAGATTTTAAAACAAACTATAATTGTTTCGTATCTGAATATCTAGATATTTGTTTGCATGATTCTTGAATTGATGGAACTGATTTTTTGCCAAAAATATTTTTTCATTGTCAAAAATTATGAAAATGTTTCTAGTTTAGAATTCAAATGGTTTAAAACTTGCTTTAAAACTACAGAATAAACATTCAACTTTTTATATATTTCAATAAATTAAAACTTTATCTTCTGGAGTAAATTAGTGTATGCAGTAGTTAGATCGAAATCCATAATATTAGGTCAATTTTGTTGATTATTTTATTCGACCAATTTCGTATTTATACATCAATGTATCTATTCACCATCCTTGTATTTTTTGAAATATTTTGTTATGTTATGTATCAGCTATAAACCACATTATTTTGAATGTACTATTACAATAAGTTGCTCAATAATAAAGAGAGAAAGAAAGAAATGGAGTTTAACCAGTGTTCTTAATCGGCTGTTTTTTGTGGGATTAAGCCGATTGATGTTTAATCTAGCCGATTGGTAAAACAATGAACCGGCCACTATGGTATCATAAATCAATCTACTTTCGGCTAAATTACATCGGGTTAATTATTACATGTTAACGTCCACTCGACACAAACTAGGTTATTTCAGAACTAACATATTGGTCAATCTCTTGCATGTATAGTTGGGAGGAAACCAGAGGTCCTGTAGAAACTGACGATGTTGAACAGGCAACTCTACTCCTTGTCATGTACAAGCGGGGTATCAAAACCACACCACTTGACTCAATCATAGACCTTATGATCTGTTGGACCATTCGACTCCCCCCCCCCCATAATAAGAAGTGTGGCCTACTATTATTTCGAATTCCAAATGTCGAGGGTTCTTTTACACGCAGGCCAATGTATCAATTGGACCTTGGTTTTTCATCCCATTCAAATGACTATACATTGTACCTTGCCAGGCCCTCCCTCCTGCACAACTGGAAAATCCAGATGAACTTTCTCGGCCACCAGAAGGATCGAACATGGGACCTCCAGGTTAGCGAGCCAGCTTCATACTCGTTGAGCCACCGCGGCTCCTCATGATAGTAGAAAAGCTACTGTAATTAGGGAGGGATATGCATATAAATAGTCCTTGTTGAAAAGATATTGACGATAGCCTCATGTATACATCTTTTTAAGCTCAAATCCTACTGTGTGGCAGTGACCTTGGTTTTTAATCCCTTTCGGAGAACTTGACTTTTTCCTTGACAGAGCCCTCCTATCCTGCACAGCACACTAACAAAGGGAAACCTAGTTGGAAAAGCCAGAGTACTATTAACGAAATGAAATGGGGTTAACGTCCTACTTTTCTGCACCAACTGGGATAATCAAGATAGGCCTACGTCTTTTAGTATGCAATAAAGAGAGAGAGAGAGAAATGGGGTTTAACGTCCACTCGACACAAACTAGGTGATTTCGGGACTAACATAGGGTTTAATTTTATTTCAATAATTCGCTTGCAGTAGGGGTTTTTAGTAGTGAGAGGAAACTGGAGGACCCAGAGAAAACCCATGAGGTTAGACAGGCGATATGCAATGGGGGGGAATTATACACAGTTCTTGTGCATGGATCCCTGTTTTCCACCCCTCTGCACTAATGACACAGACGGAAACCATGCTATATTAAAAGTGTACACAGGTCACAATTATATGGTATACAATTACCGAGCAACTTTCAACTAGACCTCTCTACTCTTCATCAAGCAATACATTTATATATTTCAACTTCTGCTTTATTTACCCATAAATTCAGTACATAGCCATTTGCAAACTGCTTTATGTTCATTACTACAATAAATTTGGAAACTTGACATACAAGTCTACATTTGGAAATGTGACATACAGGTCTACTCAACGTCCAACAAATTAAAGAGACAACATGTCAGAAGAAAAAAGTCCAATACTGAGTCGTAAAGATCAAACAATTCAAATTACTTTCACTCAAGTCTGTTTTGCCAATGCCAAAATATTTCTTTTCTTTTTTTTCTGACTGGAAATTTGAAATGCACTTCAATTTCTATTGATTTCATGTCACCATCTTTTTCTGTCTGGGGGGAAATGTAATAATAATTTTGCTATCTTTCACATACACGCAAGCCTATTGGACAAAAATCACTTGTTTATTATACAAAGGCATGACGTTTGGATAAGTATCCTCTTATCATTGTCAAGAATAACTAGTAACAGTACTTGCATACAATAAAACAGTGATTGTTTCCCATATAATTGTTCTAGTTTTGTTATGTTTCCAATTGCTAAATGCCATTAAAGAATGAAATTCGAAATTGCTTCTGGACTGTAAAGAATACAGACTGCATTCAATCTAACTTGTTGTATGTTTTGTTAAGTCTCTATGTCTACTCTAGGAGTTGGCTTCCATCATTATTCATTAGTTTAATAGAACATAATTATAATAAATTAAATAAAAAGAGAGTCATTCTTGGAAGCTCTTACAATGATACAAACAGAAAAAAAAACATATAAAGAAAAAAAAAATCAACATAAATCACATCTACCTTATGTAAAAAAATCTTGAAATTTTCTCCAAACTAAAATACATAAAGTGGCCTTAATATTATTGAACTATAATATACCAGTATGCATGCTAATTATAACACCATAGATGTCTTAATAAAAATATCGGGGCTCAATATGAAACAAATGGAATATAAAACTCTTTAATGGAAGAAGTACAGTAATTTGATCAGTGATTCGGGTTGGGCATCCATTTATTATCCGAAGTGGTGCATTTACGATTTCAGTAAACTGTCAACATTTGACCAGAAAATGTGTTATTTTTCAACATTGACTCAATCTGCTGACATCAAATTTTAAAAGTAGACTGATCAGGTACCTGTACTCTCGACCCTCCTGGTAAAAACAGATTTGTAGTGACGTTCTTGAAGCCAGTAGATACCCGCTTATTAAATCAACAATTATATTATTCACCCAAACAAATAGGTCTAGATATTTTAAGTGTCTCAATAAAAATTCATTTAGGTCCGCACCTCCACAATCTCTTGGAATTCCCACAACCACCATCACTGTGAATAGCCACAATTGTTGGAGATAATCACAATCACTGGGGATAACCTCATAACTGGGGATAACCACAATTATTGGGGATAACCACAACTATTCGGGAAGTATAATTCACACTTGGGATTCCCAAAGTCTCTGTGGAGGTTTAATTCTACTGAAATGACACAGGGTGTGTTATGCAGCATTTTACGCTTTTTTTTATGCAGTTTTTTCATTGGTTGAGAGTCAAAATCCTGATACAGATTATTTAGCTCTTGGCCAATGAAAAGGCCCGATCCTAAAATGTTCGGGACTAACACATGGTTCAATTTTATTTCAATAATTTGCTTGCATGTAGGGGTCTTTAGCAGTGGGAGAAAAACGAAGGACCCACGAGATTGGACCAGCTACCCTACTCCTTGTCACGTACAACCAAGGAATTAAACCGCTTATAGTAAGAATTTTAGATCTCAGCCAATGGTCATAGGGCAGCATTTCACGATCTTAATGCCAATCGGCAGAACAGACAGTGCGATTAAATTTCCTTAATTCAAATTTTTGTAAATAAGGCGCCTTTGTAATTTGTCTGATGACTGCAGAGTGCAGACAGGAACTCTATAAAAAGGAATGGCAGATAACTACCAGAAAGTTTCCATTTTTTTTTTTGTGCCAGACTATTATTAGTGAGACATCTATGGGTTTTCTGTGGGGATGAGTGTTGTAGGCTGTGGAATTATAGGTATATATTCACGCGGACTGAAATTTCTGTTCCCATGATGAAAGCTCTAGATCATGATATTTTCTTTGAATGGCATTTAGTAATTGGAACATAATCAAATAACACACTATTTATGGATAACAATTACTATGGTTTATTTTATGGTTTATTTCACTGGGATGTTACATCAAGAATTCAAAAGTCGTTATCAAGTATTTGTGTTATATGCTTGATAATGACTTTTGAAATCTTGTTGAAACGTCGCAGTGAAATAAACCATAGTAATTGTTATGCATAAATAGTGTGTTATTTAATCTAGATCATGATATTTTGCACAAAAACAATACGCCCAAAGAGAATACTTAACCATAGTGATCAGTGGGTGTAATTAATTGATGATATAGCCTTCATCATCAGGACACAATTTTCAGTCCAATACACAAGTATTATATTATTCTAATAAAATATTTGAGGTGAATGGGTTTACGTTATGTAGATATTTTCTTTATTTGGATTAATACAAAGATTGATGAAGCAATACACAGCAATATATATATATGTACACACACCAGGGATGCTGTTTCAAAATGTTTGCATGTCCGCCATGTTTAGTTGGGGTTAACCAGAGGCCAGAATTAGATCGCCAGAAGTGGTCAATATATTGGGGAATTTCGGATTTAATTCAACAGATCTTGATATCCAATTGGGTATATTCCTGATTGGACTTTTGTCAGCTCACATATATGGGCGAAACAGCATCCCTGATACAAACTTTAATGTTAAATATGACCACAGTCGGTCAGGTCTAAACATTAAGGCCATCTGTAGATTTCTTCAAGGTCATGAGATGTAAATAGGGTTAGGGCATGTGATTGTTGAGGTTGCAGGTTAGGGTAAGGGTTAAGTATGTTTACGCCTTGTGACCTTGATGAAATCTGCAGGTGGCCTTAATATTTAGACCTAAGCAACCAGGGTCTTTGTTTACAATATTTTATGTAGTTTAAGGATTTAGCAAATGGTAATATTGACTACCCCAATACCTTGACAAAAACTTGAGTAAAATGGATATATTATTATGGGTACATGCCAGGACAGGTCAAAACTGCCCAAACTACTGGTTCTTAGACAGCTTCAAACCACCCAAGATATGTGAATAGCTCTCCATATTATACGACTGTTTCCCCATTTCTTGGGGTTGTCATAGCTGTTCACATGACTCTGGTGATTTGGAGTGGTCTATGGAGACCTGGTTAGGGCTGTTTGGGGCAATCCAAGTGCTAAAGGATTTATAAAGTTCGACAATTCATATTGGGATACAGAAATTTCTCTATTCTAGCAAACGAAACAGCTTTTAATCACAAAAGAAAATCAAATATGCACCCCACAAAAAATCCCAAAATTTTCCATGAGTTGTCCAATTTACCAGGGCTCCACAACCCACCGAGTTTCTATGCCTAGAATAAAATGATTTGGTCATTTCAAATCAAGGGGTCTTCGACACTATCTGCAACGGGGAATTCTGCAATCTGCCATATTGAATAAGAACAATGATGTGGTAGGTGTTTAAAATGTCTAGAAATGACAGTAATAAATTAGCCACTTGTTAAAATTGGGGGAAAGCAGGAACCCTAACACTAAATGGTCTATAAATGAAGAACAATTTTTATATTTATAGATGCATTATGTAAGATTTAGATAAAGAGCTGGCCCCAAGTTCACAAACCATTCTCAGACTTTAGTTAAGAATTTACTTAAAATTGTTCGCCTTATTTTAACTAAAATATAGCCCTTTGTAAAACTTTTGTTTTAATGCATCAAATACATCAATAAGAAACTGTGTTCAAATTTTTGTGTTTCTAGAACAAAGATATTTCTCATAAACAGTGATACTTATGTCTGAGAATGCTTTGTGAATTCGGGGCCTGATCGTTCTTGCTATAATAGTTCAAAAAGAGATAATGTAACATGAATATATTGAAAATTTCATTCAAATTACTTTATTCTGAGCGAAGTTATGAGTGGTTGAAGATGTAGCTTGTTCATTATCGTAGCAAACATACATGACAACTGATTGTTCATTTTATCGTTAAATTTCGCCAAAATTTAACTCTCGGTCATCTGATTGTTTAGAGAGTTTATTATAGACTTGCCATGTTAAACATGCATTATGCAAGAGCAAAATCTGCTTATTACAAGTCTTTCTTTAGGCCTGAAATGTTTTCTAAATTATCAATTAGACATTAATTAACTTATCCAGACCATAATAAATTCTCGATGTCAAGGCTAGACTTCGATGTTGGCTGGATTAGATTCCTATATGCCATTGATAATTAAATCAAAAAAAGTGGATAATCGAGACTATGCTGTTTATATTAATGATTTTTGTAATGATGGCCGAGACTGTGCAAAAATTTCACCCGCTTCTTTCTCGGCTCATATTGAAATTTTCAGCAAATTACCTTTACACTATCTAGTTTTTAACTATTATAGCGAGAACTGCCATCTCTTTATCATATCTCCCATAAAGTATCTTTAATAAATATCTCAATTGGAAAATTTAGCTCGCACATAATGCATCCATAATGTAACATGTTGAAGTAGATCCACAATGAATCAGAAATATTTGTTAGAAATGAAATGGGGTTTAACGTCCTACTGTTCTGCTATGGGCTAATGACGGATATTAGATAGAATGGCATCCAAATGGCGTTTAACATTCTACACTGAATGGGCTGGAAGTTATATTTCTCCCCTATAAAATGCAGTAGTCACATTTAATCTTCACAAATTCCAATTGTCTGCGAAGTTCCTTGCCTTTTCAAGCTTCAAGTCACACACAAAAAAAAAAATAACAAAAGAAATAATATTTATAATTTAAACAATATATTTTCAGTGCCAATCATATTTTTCTTTCATAAATAAAACAAAGGAAATGATACAAAATGCCCACAAATTACCTAACATCTGCTTATAGGAGAAGTCTCGTATATATTTCAGCCAATAAAACTCAGGGTGAAAGATCCTTGCTAACGTGTAATTATCTGACAGTCTCCCGATAAATACAAATTTTTCAGTTTGCATGTGGGGTTGCCGAAGGCCATTTACATTTTTCAGACAATATTCAATTCAATAAGGAGTGTGTGACATTCTTAAATTAGGAATTATGAGCTCGGACTGATACAAGTGTGCATGCTCTTCTTAATCACTTTACAGTGTTGAATTCTTCACCGAATCTTAATAAATTTTCATGAATAGTTAGTATTAGGCTCTTGAACTATTTGAACTATAAATGTCAGATCTTGATAAAGGATCAGTGGGATTAATCTCAATATATTTGCATAGTCAAATCATGTATAAAATTGATAAAAATATTGTTACAGTGGTAAAACCTCTGTAAATCTGTTAAAGATGCATTATGTAAGATTTAGATACAGAGCTGACTGTTTTTACTATTGTAGTTCAAAATAGATAATGATATATGAATATATTGAAAATTTCAGTCAAATTACTTTATTCTGAGCGAAGTTATGAGTGTTCAAAGATTTGATAAGATAGTCTTGGTTGACAGACAAGGTCTTGATTATCCATTTTAACATTAATTAAATGGTACAGGGTTCTTATTCATTAAAGGCTCAATACCACTCTTGTTGTAACTGAATAATATGTCCCAATCTTTATTCTGGTCAACAAATTGTACTATTTTACAATATTTCAATTAATTGATGATACAAATTTCATCTTAACACACCTAATATAAAAAATTGGAAAAATTCAACTAAATGATTTGAAAAGACTGACGTAAAGCTTTTCAAATGTGACTTGGATTTAAAAATATTTTTGAACCCTTTGGACAAGTAAAATAGGATTTAATGGATAATTTACACAATAGGTAGGACACTAACACATCTAGTAGTACTTAGGATAAGGCTATTTTTTATTTTCTGGAGCTGTCAAGCCAGCAAGAGTGTTATTGTCCCTTTAAATATCTAAGCCATGCTATTATCTAGAGAGTTGAGGCTTGCCATGAAAACAAATGTATAAATTATAATTTATATAAAAGAACTGCAATAGGCAGATGTAGCTCTAACATAATGCATCTTTAAATTTTATCAAACCACTAATTTCTGCCAGTAATAATAACCCCCATTTTATATAATCACACCTGTTCAAAGATGAAATATTTTATCATTTTTTTTTTCTCCATTTTTCTTTTTTTGTATTTTTCAAAACGTTTCACCATCCCCAGTAAGCTAATATCAAATCTAACTTGTGACAATTGAATAAAGGACCATGCTACATGCAAGGGAAGAAGGTTATGTACATGTCAAAATGGCAATATAGTTGCGGAATAAAACAGAATAGTAAATCATATCATGCTTCAGTATCAACATTTTGCGGCATATAATCGTGACCCCATGGTTGACCTAAGCTTATAAATATTTTTACAGATTAATGAAGCATCAGAATTTTAACACAGCGTGGAAGGTTGAGTCAACGAACTTATAACAAGTACCCTGATTGATGCAATAAGTGAGCTTTACATCAGTTGATTTCTGTAGTAGAACAAAGATGGCTAATGCGGTCAAGGTGTCATGTTACATCATGTATTATTGCAGGTTTCAACGAGTTGCATTGATTTGTAACAAGAGCTGTGATTGGTTGGATAATTGCACTTCACATCATTCACAAGCCTAGCCCACACAGTTCACTTCTGTAGAATAACAAAATCAACTAACAGACAAATGTTTTAATAAGCATTTCACTCAGATTTTCTACTGAAGTTAGCAGCACAAATCCTGACTCCCTCTTGTGGCTTGAACTTGTAGTGGTTTCTCACAATCCTAATAAATTACGTACAATGTAGCAATGACGATCTCAAATATTTAGATCACTTTAGATTGATATTGGACTGTTTCATTTGTAACATTTCTAACTTATTGAATAAGAAACAAGACCAATTGTCTGGGATTATTAGACCTACTAGCCCCAAGGCCTTATTTGCGAAAACTAAAATACCTTAAGCGTTCAGCTTTTTCATTGGCCAAGAGCTCAATTTGTCCTAAAAATTTCATCTCTAAGCCAATGTAAAGGCAGGATACTATTAATATATTTTAGTTAAGGTTTGTGTGAATATGATGATGACAGGGTACTTCGAATAACAATTTTCCCAAACGGCTATTTTTAAATGAATATTTGAATTTTCTGACATGCAAATTGACTGATTGGTACATCTCTTGGTAGATATCATCTGGCGGATAAAGTAGCCCAACTGAGAAACCTGGAAATGTTTCGCTGAGAATATAATATATTTACCAGTGACAAACTTGTCATTCATATCTATAACCTATCTATAACAAGCCTGTAACCACGACGATAGCTCACTCATTGCTTTATTGTACATTTCCTTTCACTAGACAGAAGTGAAAATACTGATATATATATATAAGGTATATATATATATATATATTGATAGATATATATTTATGTATAATGTAAATAAAGATACATTTTGTTTAAATCCATGACATATTACATAAGGGAGGAGAAAAAAAAAAGCTATATATATTAATATATTACACAAAATTCAAAAGTAAAACCTACAACAAATAATTCCATTGTCATAGAATAATTAAAATAATCGATAAATTTCGTGAAAATCCGAAGTATATTGTCACACACATTTAAGAAGCTATAGTACATGATCAATGTACAGTTATAACCATTAGGAACACATCTTCTAGCATACATCCATACATAATAACATTTGTCACTCATTTATAAAGATGAAATCCTGGTTCATTTTTACACCTCACTTATCTCCCTTTGAAAACAGGGGGAGACAACCAACTGCTTACAGGATAACACTGTATAACTCTTGTCGCTTCGCGAGGTAGATGAAAAATAATCTTGATGAATTGCAGCAGCAATGAAAATAATTGCTACACATGATAATTAATTTTTATTCATTTTTTTTTGGTTATTTTTATCATTTTTTCATTTTCAGATATGCTACATCCATTTTAAAAGTAATTATTTTCCAATTCAAAATCAAACTTTGACTCCATATATATATCGTTATTGTTTGCACAAACGCTAGTGTGCAGAGTTTGTTTGTTTATTAATATATATATATATTATATGAAAGAAACAACGCAAGTTTATTGTACCTTTGGAGGAATAAAATATTTCAAAATTTTATGTCCCCTCTCTAAGTTGATGGTTTTGAACTCTATATAGTTTGTTATTTTTTCTATGTATAAGAAATCTTTTGTTGTTTATAAACTCTAATCATCAAGATTTATCTGAATCTATCCTTTTTTGTGTTGTACCAACATGGCGGGTTGGCTTAATCATTTTCATACGCGCTGCTTGTCGGCCATCTTCTTTATGGTCAAATTCACATTTATGTTGTTCGGGTAATCTATGTAACGAACAGAATATTAATCCTGAAATTAGAAGATAAAAATGACAAAATTAGCATCTATTAGAAGATAAAAATGACAAAATTAGCATCTATCTGTTTATCAATCGGTATTCCTTGATAAATTCAGGTGTTTGAATTTACAGACATCATGAGAGCAGAAAGTTTATCCCAGAAAGGAGAGTTTATATCCCCTGAGATTTTCGAGAGGATGACAGTCATGTGATGGGAAAATCATGAAACACTTTATAAGGGTGAAGTAGTTGGGTAGGGGTCTTTAGCAGTTGGAGGAAAATGGAGGACCCGGAGAAAATCCATGCGGTTGGACAGAGGACCCTACTCCTTTTCAAACACAACCAGGAAATGGAAACCACAACAGTTGACTCAATGACAGACTTTATGTATGATACAGCGCGCACATGCTAACCATTGAGCCATGGGCTAATGGAAGACCGGCATCACCACAGTGTACTACGAGTGAAATTTTACAACCGCCTATTCTTATACCGAATTCCAACTGCCAAGGGATCTTTTACGGACACACCAATGTGTACACAGGACCTTGGTTTTTCTATCCCATATGAAAAACTAGACAGCTGTCCTTGTCAGGCCCTCCATCCTGCACCAATGACAAGGGGAGCCCACGCCGGAAAATCCCAATGAACTTTCTCAGCCAAATCCGTCAGTGAATCCGCGACCATTAGATTAGCAAGCCAGCATCTTACTCATTTAGCCACCGTGGCTCTGCCGAATGCAGTTTCCTGAAAGGTGAAATAAAATGGAATTTAACGTCCTGCATTTTTACACTAATTCAGCTAATTAAGAATATACATACCACATCTGCATCGACCAATTTCTCTCTGAGCAAGTTCTAGTTTACAGCTACACATATAACATCGCTTTTTATTTTTCTGAACAATTCTAGTAGCCTCTTCATCCAATACACTACAGTCCCTAAAACATACTAACACTTAAAGCACCGTGTGATATAAAGATACATGTCGCACTTCAATATACAGGGAGAGAGAGGAAATGGGGTTTAACGTCCACTTGACAGACTAGGTCATTTCGAGACTAACATATGGTTCAATTCTATTTCAATAAAAGGGGTCTTTAGCAGTCTGAGGAAACCAGAGAACCCGAGAAAACCCATGAGGTTGGACAGACAACCCTACTCCTTGTCATGTACATGCACTAACCATTCGGCCATCGAAGCCCCCCCCGCCCCCAAACAATCAATATAACTTGATCATGGGAAGGGAAGAGGACATTTCTTTCATAATGACACAATACTTGAGACTAACATTGATTACATGTGCCATGTGTGGAGGATAATTTTGCCTAGGCAGCCAGATTTTCGCCTATGCATCAAATTTCAATTGCCAAGGTTTCTTTTACGTGCATGCCAATGGAAGCCAAGGGAAAGGGAAGGGTATAAATAACGTCTAATCAACAATACTTTGGTAATTTTGAGACTAACATTCATTACATGTGCCATGGGAGGAGGATAATTTTGCCCAGGCAGCAATACTCTCGCCTACTTTTCATTGAATTTTAACTGCCAAGATTTCTTTTATGTCCATGGAAATATGTACACTAGTGGATCATCCCAAATGAAATGAAATTGGGTTGGAAACTTGATCATTGGATGGGAATGGAAATAATTTGATAATTTTGGGACCAACGTATGGTCATTTTCATTTCAATAGTAACAAGCGCAATGTCCCGAGGAGAATTTTTGTCCGGGCAGAGTGTCTTCACCTACTCTTCTATCAAGGTTTCTTTTACATGCCTAGGGAAGGGAAAGGAAAGGCATATTACGTCTCATCAACACAATAATTTTCAAACATATGGTCGTTTTTGTTACAATGCGAGGAGAATTTTGCCCGGACAGCAAACATTTTCTACTTTCCTTTACATGCAAGCCAGTGTGTACACTAGTTGTCCTTGTTTTTTTTGTACCATCCGAAATGAAATACAACAAAGTTAATCATCCTACTTTTCTGCACCAACTGGGCTAATGAAGACAGGCATACGTCATCCAGTGTGCCATGAAGGAAATTTTGACATACACACCAATGTGTACACAAGACTAAAGTTTTTTACACAGCAACATTTCAACAAGATCGAAGTGTGATAAACTTTAGTAATTATTATCTATAAATAGTGTTTTATTAAAAGCACTTGTTTTCTTGGAATATAATTATGGTCAATCAATATTCAAACTGTAATGGAAGAAACAAATAGAGAGAGAGAAATGGGGTTTAACATCCACTTGACACAAACTAGGTCATTTCGGGACTAACATATAGTTCAATTTTATTTCAATCATTTGCTTGTGCCTAGGGGTCTTTAGCAGTGGGAGGAAACCGGAGGAGCCAGAGAAAACCCACGAGGTTGGACAGACTGTACTCCTTGACAGGTACAACCGGGGAATTGAAACCACGGCAGTTGACTCAATGACAGACCTTATGATACAACGTGCACTCGCTAACCATTCGGTCATCTAACTCCCCCCACCCTCCAAAAAAAAACAAATACAGAACAAGATTATAAAGTGAAAAATATAGAAAAAAGAAAACCAGAGCTGGCTGACTTTTGATAGACTGTAATCGGTTCAAATGTCACGTTTTTACCTTTTAGTTCCTCGTTCTCCATCATTTTCATCTGTAAGAACAGTGGATAGGGCGCTAGCTCCAGCTACATCCCCTATAGAGACTTCTCCGTTATTTGTGGGACTATTTGATCCAACTATTTGTGTAATGTCTTTACGGGGAAGTGATTCCGACGGTTGTTCTAAAGCCGAACATAAAGCACTGTTTTTACTATCACTAGACATTATTATGGATTGATTGTCCTTAACATCTCTATTTACAGGCCGATCTTTAGCTAAAGAACTTGGAAGTTTTGTTGGATCTGCCCGGGCTCCTTGTGAATCCATAGCTGTTGCTTTCGATGAGCTGGCTTGGTTACCTTTCTGTTGTCTCATTATCTCTGCAAAAGGAAATAAACTACTACTACAAGGGATTTTCGTCCCGCTTCCACCTAGGAAACAAACATTTGTATATGGTTAATAAATGACAAGGTGAATATTTATGTACGAACTGTCAATTAACACAGGGTTATTATTAGCAAAGCTTTAGGCCACAACAATTTAGTTTCCTGTTCTACAGGAATACATATTAATTTGCTTCTTATTTCTTCGGGGAAAAAGGCTAATTTAAAAAAGAGAGAGAGAGAGAAATGGGGTTTAACGTCCACTCGACACAAACTAGGTCATTTTGAGACTAACATATGGTTTAATTTTATTTCAATAATTCGCTTGCGCGTAGGGGTCTTTAGCAGTGGGAGGAAACCGGAGGACCCGGAGAAAACCCACAATGTTGGACAGGCAACCCTACTCCTTGTCACGTACAACCGGAGATTCGAAACCACGCCAGTTGACTCAATGACAGACTTTATGATACAGCGCTCGCACGCTAACCATTCAGCCATCCAACCCCCACTAATTTAAAAACTCAAAGTACTTTGTTGCACTGTTCAAAAGCTTTAAGTTTCATATATTTCAGTTTTGGAATTTTAACAACACATCATACACAAGAATTGAGTGGGTTATTTATTGAGTAAGACCCCCCGAGGGATTAAACACTAAATTGGCTTGGCCTTAATGCTAATAAATATAATACAAGGGCTCACCTTGTATTAACACCCCTATCCCTTGTTAATTGAAAATTAACAACTTTCAATACATTTACATCTACAAGAACATGTAAATACGTAATTTACAGTTAGTGTATGGATAAATACGTAATTTACAGTTAGTGTATGAATAAATGGAAAGTAATTATCAACCGGAGGTTCAAAACAAATTGGGTGGTCCACAAAGTTGAAGAGGTCAGTGGGAATGCTTGAAAAAATGTTAGCCAAGGTTGGGAACCACCGTTAAAGAAATTAGATTCAATTATGTAGCATTTTAAAGATGCATTATAAAGGATTAGATAAAGAGCTGGTAGTTCTCATTCTAATAGTTCAAAACTAGATAATGTAAAGGCAATTTGCTAAAAATTTCAGTCAAATTGATCAACCTTGAACCAAATATTTAGCGATTGAAATTTGAGCCTAGACTCGATCATCTTTACTAAAGTTGGTACGATAAAAAACAAGTCTTGATTATCCATTTTTTTATTTAATCAGAAGCAGCAGACAGGGTTCTAATCCAGTAAATATTGCAGGCTTGCGATGCCATCAAGAGTTAATTATGGTCTGGATAAGTTAATCAATGTCTAATTAATAATTTAAATAACATTTCAGGCCTCAAGAAAGACTTTCAATTGGAAGATTTAGCTCTTGCAAAATGTATGTTTAAGTTTAATAATATTTCAAAATATTTGATTTAAAATTAAAATATCACAGATCTACATGTTTGAAAAGAATACTATGATTGGCGAAAAATCTTCTGGTAGAATAACAAAAACATTTTATATCTCTTCTGTTTCTACGCCTTTATAATAAGACTGATTGGTTAATAAAGATGGAAGACTTGTACATTCTATTTATAGTATTATTTTGCTGAGAATTAATGACAACCAACGATCAATGTTGTATTAGTAATAACCCTAATTCTCTAATACTCTAGTTCTCTATAATAATACAATACCTAGCCAAGTACTAATGTCATTTGAAGACTCATTCCAGTAAGCTATTGTAATCCTATTTGGCTCCAATTTGTATGGAACTGACAGGTTGAGTTACCAGTTGACTAAGTCAAATATTATCAAAGAGAGAGAGAGAGAGAGAGAGAAATGGGGTTTAACGTCCACTCGACACACACAAACTAATGGTAGGTATTTAGCAGTGGGAGGAAACCTATTTCATGTCAAGTACAGGCAGGGAATCGAAATGACAGACCTTATGATCCAATGTGCATGTGTTAACCATTCAACCCTCCCATCCCCCTCAACCTACAAGTTAAATTTTGCACAAAAAGAACTGGCCCCAAGTTCACAAAGCATTCCCAGGCTTAAGTTCAGAAATGTGCAGGCCAATGTTTTCTCGCTTTTTTTCGTCCCATCCGAACAACAAGGGAAAACTACACCAGACAATCATGCGGGACTTGGTTGGCCATTTGGTACTAGTAGTAATGGTGTTAAGTTTTGTGTACAGCATTCTTAACTTCAACATACTGGAGCAGAGACCAGAAGGTTCACCATTAGAACACAGCCCCAAATAAATATTATTATGGAAATATTCACTCACCTGCATCCCGTGCATTTTTTGCTTTTTCTCTATCTGCAATGTAAAATAATAAAAATAAAATATGGTTTCCAGTGCATTTGTTTATTTATCTCTATCTGCGTCGTAAAATTTTAACATAAAACATGGCTTAAAAAATACGAACACACAGAATAAGTACAGTTTATTATGAATAAAATATTACATGAAAATAACAAACAACTTGATTTATGAGTGTTTTAACAAAAAATCTTTCAATTGGCTTGACAGTAAAGCTTGGCAGTCTGTCAGATACATTTATTTCAAAATGATAAATAATATTTTAATTTAGGAGGCCACACTTTTTTTGAAATTGAGAGAAAAATGATATGGATTAAATTGATGATTTTATTTGTTTTGCAAGGAAATGTACATCAACTGGCAACTTAAAAATCTTGAATTTAATTTTTATCCTTTAACCACTGTGTAAAATGTCAAAAACCAAAACGTAAAATAGACTCTGGTGAAACAAAAAATTTATTCACAAACCACTTGCCCGATCACTAATCTGAATGAACTAACACACCCAATAATCCCAATTCAATACTTTATTCTATTCAAACTCGAATGGTCTGAGCATAATCTTTTGTACATACAGACAGATCAGCACTGATAATCCTTAATCTTTCCTTACCCAAGCTTACCCCTAAAATAGCCCTTTAAACTCCAGCCTCGAACTCTGGCATGTAGATAATGCAATCAAGATTATTGATAATATTAACAAACATGCCCCCGTGTCATGAAGCTTTTATAACAAAGCAGTTCATTGGTCTACTACACTAGACAATTACTTTGATAAATAGGATTTGATAGGGGTTAAAGGTCAGAGGTCAGAGCTTTTACCTGATACAGGTAACTCACATGGATTATTATCACCTGTGACAATCAAAATCAATTTGGTACTTGTACACACTTGTTCTAGATCATGGAAAATTTGGCCCATTATCATAATTTGCCTTCCATTGTGTATTTGACACGTCATGGTCAAACAAACACACAAGATGCCATTGTGTACATTATACAGATGTTACCTATAACCCAGTATACGTCATACAGTGTGCTATGAAGGAAATTTTGCCCAGTCGGCGGCACTACAGCCTACTCTTATTATATCGAATTCCAACAGTCAAGGGTTCTTTTACGTGCACAGACCTCGGTTTTTGTCCCATCCAAATGACTATACATTGTCCCTAGCCAGGTCCTCCCTCCTGCACCACTGACAAGGAGGAACTATGCTAGAAAATCCCCAGGAACTTTCTCAGTCAACACAGGGATCGAACATTGGAAATGAAATGAGGTTTAACGTCCTACTGTTCTGCTTTTTACCTGGGCTAATGAAGACGGACATACGCCATACAGTGTGCTATGAGGGAAATTTTGCCCGGGCAGCGGCGCTACGGCCTACTCTTTTATCGAATTCCAACTGCCAAGGGATCTTTTACGTGCACACGGGACCTTGATTTTCTGTTTCATCTGAATGACTAGACAGCTGTCCTTGTCAGGCCCTCCGTCCTGCATCACTGACAAGGGGAAACCACGCCAGAAAATCTGGATGAACTTTCTCGGCCAATGCAGGGATCAAACACCCGACCTACAGGCTAGCGAGCCAGCGTCTTACCCACTTAGCCATGTGGACCTACAGGTTAAAGAACTAACTTATCACTCACTGAATCACCGTGGCTCACACCTGACGAACAAGATATTATTATATACAGGTGTTACCTACATGTACATAACACTGCAAGTTCAATAACAATATAATTTTCAGGCTAGAGAAATTTAAATTAATGTTCTTCAGGAAGACTTGATAAAAAATTTGACTTCCATTTATTTAGGGAAAAAGTACACAGCTGCTCTTCTCAAAAGCATATTGTTCGAAATATTTATGTTTTAAAATTTTAACAAATCATCTTACAAGAGTTGAGTGGGTTGTTTATTGAACAAGACCCCCAAAAAATAAAATTAAACTGGTTTGGCCTCATACATTAAATTCTCTGTTATTATTTTTCCATCTGTTGTAGAATTTCATGTACATGTACATGTAGTATAATTAATGTTTGTAGGATTTCTTTAGAATCCGGAATGCAAATTAAAATGGGTGAAATTAATTATATACATTTAATTACGTAGATATAGGAAATCTTATTCTAATTAGTAAATAAATTTTAGTTTTAACATGTACTTTTATTCATTTATTCAAACTCAGGGCCTTGCGCAAACTGCTGTTACATGTACCTCAGGTGAAGTGGTACTACAAGTATATTAGTTTACCAGGGATTAAAAAATCCTCAAACGACAATTAGATTTTATAAATATATTTCCTTGACAGTCGTAATCCTAAATTAGGGTAAAGTATTAACAAGATGACACGCTCATCAACATCTGCTGCCCTTGAACAAGAAATCAAATTTATCTATACAGGTCACAATTCTATGGAATACAATTACTGCGTATTACTGAGCAACGTTTTGACTAGGCTTGATAATGACTAGAGAAGCCTAGTCGAAATGTCGCTCAGTAATAAGCAGTAATTGTATTCCATAGTTAATTACTAAATGCCATTGTGAAACAATTTATTAAATTTATTTATGGCAACGCAAAAAATATTTTTTGAGAAAGTTCTCATTAGCAAAAGGTACAACAATCCGGTACTATAGAAACAATACATTTTTACATAATTTTTAAATCTTACAGTTGTTCAAATCCATTAAAATCTTAGGAATCCAATGGTCTAAAGAGTTTATTATAGGCTTGTCATGTGAATAAATATCTATCTAAATAATAATTTAAATCAGATTTGAAGCCAGAAAAAAGAACTGCAATAGGTAGATTTATCTCTTACACAAAGCATCTTTAATATTAATATTTACACACATGATGAAGCCTTAAATTCGAAAATGTCAAATCACTTATGTGTGTATGACATGAGCTAAAGTACAAGCAATGCATAAGTTTGATTCGTCACGCACAGTCAAGTGAAAACAAAATCCAGCCCCTGGCAATACAGGCCCACAACACATAAGTGGCCGTTCACCCTGAATAACAACAGACTAGTCTCAATATAAGGGCACACTTGATGATTTGTTGAATAGGATTTCCATAATCAAAACAGTCCCAAGTTAAAGATAATAATAACAAGACCCAAAAAACAACCTTTATTTATTATGGTATGCACAAAGGCTTTTTATGTGCTGGTAAACAACTCTGCCATATTATTACATGTAGTAGGTATTATCAAAGATGCCTTATATAAGATTAAGATAAAAGAGCTGACCGTCCTTGCTACATGTTTAATAGTTCAAAAACAAATAATGAAAAATTTCATTCAAATTACTTTATTCTGAACGAAGTTATGAGTGTTGGAAGTAGCACGGATTGTTTTTTATCGTAGCAACAGTACTGGTACTGGACAACCAAGATTGTCTCGTTTACCCATTTTATCGTCATTGTTAATCTTGCGACGTTCTAATCCATTTAAATCTCTCTCTGTCATACGATATTCTAGGTTTGTCAATAAATGTCTAAATAATTCAGTTTATATAACATTTAAAGCCTAAAGAAAGATCTGCAATAGGCTGATTTAGCTCTTGAGTAATGTATCTTTAAATTATATCAAGTAACAATCCTATAAATTTATCAACAGCGAAAAGTGGCTTCATGAAAATGTCAACATAAGATAATAATCGAAAATTGTTTTGGTATAAGCTTTGAAAATAATGGTTCTCGAAAATTAGAAACAAATGATTCACATACTGACACTATTTTACTTTGTGTATACTAAGAAAAAAGTTCAACATGTAGTATTTAATGAGAATTAACCCTAATGATCTAGATTGCGTAGGAATACCAAATAGAGTTAAAAACACATTCTAGTTATTGTTGATACTTTGAAATCTGATATATTTAACACTCATGGTTCTCACGCACAAAATCTTGCCAAGCACATGTAACCATGCCAATATCATGCCAGCAGCTTTCTACTGACTGGCGGCAGACGCATTTTTGTTAAAAGTGAGAATTATGGGCTAGATGTACATGTACATACCTTGAAAACATTTGGAGCACAATCCGAGTGTTTTGGCAGAACTGAAAGAAAAAAAAAATAAGATAAAAATAACATTTATGATTTATTTAACAGTTGTTTTGTTGGTAAACCAGTTAACACATAAAATAATGTTAGTGTTTATTAGGGGATATTGTTGTTTATTTACATCATGCTAGGCCTCCTTGCTTGGTACGCGTACTAGAAGCCTTTGTAACTCGAGATACACACAAGTTTCAATAATCTCTGAGCGGCATTTAGCGATTGAGCACAATTTATATGGAAAACAATCACTGGTTTATACACATATACAGCACAAGGGTTCAACAAGTTTTCTATTATCATTATCAAGCACAGTGGGAGGAAACTGGTGGACCCTGAGAAAGCCCACGAGGTTGGACAGGCGACTCTACTCCGGGGATTCGAAACCATGCCAGTTGACTCAATGACAGGACTTATGATACAGCGCCATCCACCCCCCACAACACGATTGAAAAGATAATATTATTATTAATAAACTTTAAGGATCAAAGGACTTTCATGAAAATCTGTCAACGGTAAGCATCTTGCAGGGTTTTAGACTTTCTAGCTTAGTTGACAACCCATTTAATTTATCACTTTAAAATAAAATATAAGCCTACAACACAAGCTGTCAGAAATGTCAAAAATATTCAGCCATTGGAAAGACAACTTTAACTAATATAAAGCCAACAAAATGATCAACTTATTAATCATGTATTCTATAATTAGTAACCATTTTTAATGTTATATACTCCCGTAATTTATTATATCTTATCAGACAGAAACGAATATTAATCACATTGGTTGAAAGGTACATGTAGGTTGATCACGACCATCATATCCGAAGCCAAAAATGATTAATACTTTGTGCAATTTTTAACAAATAAGATTTATATAGGAAACTGTAACATGAGTCTAAAAGGAAATCAGTCTATGTCCATAATCAAGGCCAAAAAATCCCTTCGCTTTCAGCTGCATTTCAGTGTCCGGCTTATTTTAGCTGTACATCGTAATTTCATCTAGATGTTTTGGTTATGCCCAAATTTCTCACTTATGATTCAAAACTAAATGTCTCGGTTATCTCCAAATCTAGTACTTATGAACAGGTTATATATGCCTAAGCCACGTCTCAAAAGTTCTAGAAATATGGGTGTTGGTTAATACCATCAGTATGACTTATTTCACAATCGAACATTAAGTTAGCTGTTACGTAGTTCAAGAGACAGTTATAGTCTAATATAAGCTTACACTCCTACTGATCTATAATTTATAATTCACCAATAGAGGTAGATATAATTCTGTTCTTTAACTTGTCCCAGTGATAACCTAAATCTAGTCACTAACATAGCAACATGACCCAGTTATATTTAAACCTACATGACTGGTTCCTACCCTATACAACCTACACAAAGCTTTCATTATCTCAACACTCAACATACTGAAATCCACATAATATATTTATTACATGTATTTTTATTTCAATGGAAAACTGAACTAGCTAACATTTATCATTGCTTTAACTTTACATTTAATATTTGTGTCTAACACGAGATAGTTAGATACATTTATCATCAACACAATAGCGGTCACAACAAATAATGTAAATGAGAACTTTTGAACTAGGTTGGCTAAAAATTCATCCTTATAAGCACATTAAAAAAAAAAACAACAACACAATTCATCTGGAAAACATAAGATAATAATAAGACAACACTTGTCAAAACGTCGTGCTATATGTGTATAACCCAGTGATATTTTTGTTTTGTTTTTTTAAAAATTCATGTTTCAAGTTGCAGAAAACGACCCTATTTCTTAAAATCAACAACACTAAAACTGACCATTGATTGATAAAAAATCCCGACACAGATGAACAATATTTTTCTTCATCAATAGTTTTGATCTCTATACTCTACTCTCCATTAAATACATTAACGGAATCCATCTCCCTTGATTATTGTAACCTTTAACGGATCATCCCTCTTTTAAAATCTAACAAATGTCATACAGGAACTTGGACAGATAAGCCTTCTCATAATTATTGCCAGTTTTGTACTCAGAGTGTGTCATGGAGAACTTGCATAGCGACTGAAGTTATACAAAAGTAGGTATTCAGCAACCCACATATGGCTCAAGTTTAGGTCAAGTGCACACAATGCAGCATAAACAAATATGTACCAGTACCGGTTACTGCATGACATTTTATCTGGAGGCTGTGGGTTAGATTATATAATATACTGAGTGAAGGTTTATTTATTAATATTGATGTAGAATATTTGATAATTCGTGCTTTTAAACCAAGAACCATGAAATCACTGATATTTAACCCAACAAGATCATCACTGACAAAGCTTAATCAATTAATAATCTATTGTATTGTTGATATTCAGAGGATTATTTGCTGATGACGTATAAATCCCCTCCACCCCACCCCCAAAATATGAATGTGTTATAGACCAGGAATCAAATATGACGGCATCAAAGTCATATCAAAAATCAAAGTCTGTTAATCGATGCACAATGGTACAGGAACAGGCATGCCAAGTTTCAGCCAATTGTTCTTGAACTAGAGGATTTTTAAGTATTTTCAAAGAGCGTCGCTTAAGTGAGTAGTGCTTGCGGCCAATTTCAGAATCCAAAACTCCTTATAGATACATGCCTTGGCTTGAAATAATATATCTCCTTACAGTATTTTTAAATACATGTATTTCTTACTTACAAAACTATTCGCAATAAACAGTACTTTTTAGTTTAATATTGATTACTCTTCAAATTAAATGAGTTGGCTTTATTTCTATTTCTCCGCATTTTAACCTTCTTCAACAATGTCATATCATTCTTTTTACAAATTTCTGTAACCTTACTTTTTAAAATTTCATTTTGATTAATTCCACACCAAGACACCTGCAGCCATTAAAGCAAAAATGAAATTCAACACACTTTCTACCATAGAGCTCACTTTATGGGCTGTATACAGTGCAAGCTAGATACTGCCATAAGAGTGGTTTTATGCTCTACTAGAATGTCAATCATTAACAGGGGCCGTCTCAAAACATCACTTCAATAGAGAATCCTATAGCAACAAGGACATTTTATGACTTTGACAATCTAAACATTCTCAGATAAGCCAAACAAATGAAAAGGAAGTTGAATGATTTGTATTTTGGGTTAACAAAACTTAGAAATGAGATCTGGGCATGTCGAAGCTGTAAAGTATAAGAACAATGAGAAGATGAGAATTTATTTCTTAGTTCACACACACCATCATCACATTGTGTAACAACAGGAAAATATTATTCCACCCACACCCAGTGGAGAACAAAGAAAAATGATTCTTACTAAACCTACACAAGGCTCTTCTTTCATTATTTTAATTGTGTCTGTATACATTTACAGTGAACTCAACATGATAAATACATAATACCAGTACATGTATTGAATGATATCTAACTTGATCTGCTATTAAAATATCCATTTTCATATGTCACATACGAACTATCAGTAATAATCGAACCACATCAAAACACGGAACAATATACCGGAACAATATACCGGTAATAGCGTATAAAAATATGCATGTTTTTTCAGTATTCACCTATTTCTTTTATTATATAATACCCATATACATTTTTTTTTATTTACGAGACAGGTCATACATTTTGGAGGCTGAAGACGTTGTTTGTCCGAAATAACCGATATAAACACAACTCTACTTAGCTGAACATACTGATAATAGAAATTTGAAATTTGTTACGTAAAATTGAGAAGAAAAACCAGAGAAACAAAATTGTAATCTAATTAGATAAGAATCTCCTGATCAAAGTATAGGCCTACATGTACATCTACTCACCAGACACAATCCATGATTATTTGATTTATATCTATATAAATGATATCAGACACAAAATGACTTATATATACCAACAGGTAACATGACATCAGGACTATCACAATATTTATAAATAAGTATGGTATATATATATACACACCCCTCATAGATGACAAGCCAAACCCTCAGTTTTATAATCTAAGAATTTTCTAGATTATTCTAGCGTAACTGACAAATAATAGCCAATACAGGTATACTATGACGACAGCCTGTGGTAGACTTTTATGTCATGTACAATGTATACAAGTAAAAATAGGTAGGCAATGAGACATACCCAAACATAATACGGTAATAAATCTATATTTAAATAAAGGCAATATTCCTAGAATAAACCTACGTCAGCTCTACACGTACTGTAGGATATAAAATGGACTAAAATGAAACGTCATAATAATGGCAAAAATATGTCATGATGAAGTAAGCGCGTGACTATATTACTATTTAGGACACCATTTCCCTCCAGACAATAGACATTTTCTTTTTTCTCTCTATATTACAAACTATTCTTGTCTTTTTATGACGAAGATATGCAAATAAAGATGAATCAATTGTTAATTGATAATTTATAATATTCTCAAATTAAATAACTTGGACTGGACATTGCAAGTGCAGACCAAGGAATGTTAAGATGAGATGGCACATTTTTAGCCTTTGCCCTCTTAGACAATCGTAACTTGCTGGAAACAATATGAGAGGCTCTCCCTGTCCCATACTCCTCGCAATGTTTCGTTTCATTAGAGCTAATCCCAGAGAGGGATTTCTCTGGCCATTGCTTCAGGAATATGTTCCTGTCCTGGATGCACCCTTGAGTTAAATTATCACCATTCATTCTCTTTTCTCTTGATCGCAAAATGTAACTCGTATTCTTGAACATAAATTCACCTGGGGCTGGAACCCAGAAGGCCAAGACAGGGTTTTGAATGAGAAATGAAACAGCTAGCCTCTCCATTTAGTTGATTAAGATCAACAACCTAATAAATTCAAATTCTTCAGTTACTATCAATGGGGAACTATCAATATAGCCGACTTTTTCTTAGAATAAACACTGCATTCCAATTACACCCCAATCCACATACATATTTGTACGTATACCCAATCTGATTAAAACACAGATCCTATTTCGTTTCGTTTTTTAAT